GTAAACTGAATGCTATGCGCGCATTCTGTCCGAGGTCAAGAGGTCGATTCTCCGTGGGATCGGTGAATTCGCATTGTTGATTAACCCGACAAGGTTGAAACAGCTGTACAGCACCTTCTAGAACATCAGTTCATGTTTCATCTGCTCAGTAGATGATGATAAACTGTATCACATAAAAACGAGACGTCAATAGATCGGGAATTGATATTTTGGACGCCGCAATTCGGAACAACCAGATGCATCAAAGAGAACCACCAAACGGACGAGAATCAAACATATTGAATCCGAACATGGCCTACAAGTGCCATACCACAAATCAAGATGGTCAGATATCAGCAGAGGGAGAAGAAGGTAAACCTCTATGGTCAACACACACTAACTGTGCATACATACCGTTTGAAGTATTCTCGCCGGATAAGAAATGATAACGATAACGACACTGTTGTCGGTTCGCTGCCATATCCTTCAATGTCTCCAACCAACGGGTCGTGGAGTCTTCCGGACCCCAACCTGGAAGGCGTGAGACATCTACTCTACCTAATGGCAATGCGCATTTCTTCAAGCCTCGTCTCCACGTCATCTGTTGACCTCCACGTGGTTTCCTACAGCCCGGATTAGCTACAGCGAATAAAGCGCGGTGCGGCAGACGACAGCTGAGCATACGCAATACGTGCCCTAGCCAGCGAAACCTACTAATCTGAATTCGGTGTGCTAACAGGTTTATACCTGATAGACTTCTAAACACACGACGACTTTCCTCCAGATTAATAACCCGTTCGCTCCACCCCAAGTGGGTTAAACTACGTAAAAACCGATAATCGAAGACTTCTAGTCGATGGGTGTTTTCTACTCGCAAATTCAAGCACTCACAACCATAAGCATAACTGAAAGAGCGTTTTTTTATTACACACCAAAGTGTGATGAACAGCAGACGGAGCGAAACCCATAGTCACGAGGATCTGCTGCTCCTTCATGGAAACCGGTAACCTAAGCCCTGGGACTTGGAGTGGCGAATCACGTAAGGTCCCGCTAGGTTAGGCGTGAAATTGAACCGACGACAGCAGAGCTGCCTACTATCTGGCACTATAGACACGACTTTTCAACTTCAGTGAAACGTCGCGGCTAAGCCAACGGTGTTTCAGTCCTGCGTTTGCTACTCGAGACTTGGAAATGTGATTGGTTATCTCCTCTGCTGTGCTACCATCATTGGTCAGGTAACTAACTAACCAGGAAAAGCAATCCACCGAAACATTCCTGACCATTAACTTTCAGAGCGGGAGTAGACGAAACTCAGTCCTGCATCATCACTTTGCACTTTGAAAGTGCAAAGCACAGGCTGAATGTGAGAACAGCACTTGATAGTCTATCAAGTGTGCTTTGTGCGTCCACCGTACATCCGAAATGACAGACGATGTCATCGGTGTACTCCAAATCGCACAGCTTTTCTCTAGCTGCCTATTCGATAACTACGTTTTGGAGACCACTTAGTGTGTTCTCTAGTATTTTATCTACGACGAAACTGAACAGGAACGGCGAAAGAGGGCACCCTTGACAAACGGCCCACTTAGTTCGTTGTAAACCCTTACACGACTAAACTTATCTAATTACAGCGACCTCAGTAAGTTAACGTACTTCTAGGGCATTCCGTTTCGAAGAAGGGAACCCATCAAAGCTTCGCGGTCAACTGAGTCGAAGGCTTCTTTCAGGTCAAGGAACACTGCGATCGTTGGTCAATGTGACCATGTGGTTCAACCCCTACTACTACCGTTCATCAGATAGAACTGTGTAAGTCAAAACAAACAAATAAGGTTTGACAAGAATAAGGATGTCCAACTCTTGAGTTCATCATGTAATAAATGATTAATGAAGCGTTCCTATACTTTTCTAAAAATTGGAACGGTAACTATAAGGTTACTGTAATAAGCACACAGGAGTAATGTTTGCTAAGATATGATTGTCACATGATCTAAGACATCCATCAAAAGCAACAATTTTTACCGGATAATAATGCAATAAAAATGGACCGTGTTACATTTGTCTATCGCAATATTGTAATTATTCTTAAAAGTACCTTATGCTTATGGTTTTAAAAATTCCTGTTCTATGTGCTGGACTGGAAGATAGGTTTGCAACAGTCGGTCAGTTGAGTTCCAACACCATTTGGCCTCGACCAAGTCTCAGCAGTGTGTGTTTATCTCAAATAATATATTTTTGCTACTTGCTTCTGTTTCCGTTTACAAAACTTTTCAGTGAAAAGAGGCAAATGAGCAGCGGGAGTGAACAAGATGTGCACGTGTGAAGAAAACAACTAGATACATGAGAGCCACTGTTTATAACATTTTATGATTTCAGATCAAGCCTAGCAAAACTAATACGATCCGGTAAAGTGATTATGACCAAGGACAGTGATATAAACAAAAAATGAAAGAAATACTGACGGATGAGAGCAAGTTCCAAATAGACAAGACACCAGATAACAACCACCTCAATGAAAATCGGATGGTAAGGAAATCGTATAACCTGTTACCACATGGTTACACATCTGATACACAGTACAAAACAATTGAAGCCAATGGGGATAGAAACACGAGAAATGAGAGGCTCGCCTAAACTCATAAGCCAGGGATTTCTCTCAGACCAATTTTGTGTATGCAGAAGTTGCCGAATCACAAACTAACCCGATAACTAGTGAAGATTTTAAATCCCATTTATAATTCTTTACCCCATCGTTTAGAAGATGCTTTTGAACTCTGAAAATGCTTAGAAAATATGACAATATCTTTACGGCGGACGTATTCGATAGATATCGGTTCCATTTTCACCACAGCTCCCTTTCATAGAACAGTTGATTTTTGTATGTGATTATATTTCTTCAGGTAATTTTCCCCTTGCTATCCGTTTTGAAGACTTGGGACAACTGATGTTCGTATGTACTGAAAACATTCGTTTTGAATTCGATGGGATCGCATACGAACAGATTGGTGGCGTAACCCTGGGCAGTCCATTAGGCCCAATCCTAGCTGATATTCTTTGAACAAAATCTTGCCATTACTATCTCTCAGACCACTCTGTACAGAAGTTTTGTGAACAATATTTTTATTCTTACATAGCGTGAACATTTTGAATCCCTTTAGAACAATTCAACTTTGTTCATGCGCATCTTTCTGTATCCCATGAAGAAGAAACTAACGATTCCTTGGCATTTTTGAATATTATAATTATGAGGCACCCAGATGGCATA